TATGGTGTTACGGGCGGGTAGTGGAAAGGCATCTACACCCACCCTCAAGATCAACTTGTTCTGTGGTTTTTAGATACATATACTGATTGTTAATCACTTCTGAGACGTAATATCAAACTTTAACAATCGATACTAATAAATATATTTGTAATAGAAAGTTCTTATTGAAATCTTTTTGATAATTATATATACATGTCGATTTCCTAAGGATTATTCATGTGATAATAGAAGAATATTGTTTTATATATGATTGAAAAGAAACAAACTATGATTACATTTCTTTTGTAGTAAAATTTTCTGATGATGGATTTTGTTCCCAAACAGCAGTAATGGCTTTTATAATTGTATTTATTAATTTAACATCATAAATAAAATCTTTTAGAATTTTTATTTTTAAATGATGATGAAGAAGTGTATCAATAACATAGATTGAATAATTAGTAGCATCTTTTTGATTTTGAAAAATATATTCAGTTGATAAAAGATATTTTGTTGTATTTTCATAAAATTGATAAATTAAAGTAGAAAATACTGCAAGCCAATCAATATCACGTGTTGTTTGACATAAATATTTAAGAAAATGAGTATCAACAACAAAACGATAGAAATCAAGACCAATAGTAGAAATTAAATTCGACGGGCAATAATAATACAAAAGTTCGATATAACTAAAAAAAAATCTTTTTTTTATATAAACGCAAAACGAACGAAACTAACCGCATTAAATAAATCGGTTTTCGAATAGATAAATTAAACAATTGTTTAAATCGTTTATGATCAATTAAAAGTAGATGATAAAAATTTTCATTTTTACTTAATAGATTTATAATTAAAATAAAAAAATTATCATTCATTGTATTATCTAATATTAATTGTTCAAGATATTCAATTATTTGATAACCTTCTTTATTTCGTGTAGTTAAATTCGATCCAAATTTTGGTTTCATCCATATTTGATAAAGTTGATCACTTAATATTTGAAGTTTTTCAGTTGAATTATCATACTTATCATATTCAGTATGAATACGTTTGATTGTATTTAAAAATGATGATGATTCAATTTCTACTGATGTTAGTAATCGAGAAGACATTGAGAGATTTTTTTTAAATTATTGAAATCAATATTCATTATTAGAATTGATGCATAAACTACATCAAGAACAAAAATTGAGCAAATTTAAGGTAACATTTGATTAGGAGAGATTTAGATTTTAGATAGAATTTATTATGTTTAAAGCGCCAAGAAATAATTTTGTTATTATTTTTGCATATTATAGAGCATGCGACTATTCTATGAAGTACTGAAAGGATCTACAATTTGAATTTCAAGATTTCAAAATTATAATAGTTTAAGGTTGCTGTGAATGAATGAATTCTATTCCGATCAGGCTAAGAGTATATATAAACACTATGAATGTTTCATTGAGAGCTATTTATAATTAAAAGCATAATGACAGTTACAAGATTTGCCTTGGCAATCTATTTGTCTAAATAGCAAAATATGATATTATCTGTGTGCTTTTTTTTATTCAAGAATTATTTTTTAAGGTGTAAAAAAAGTAGATAAATCATGTATTAGTTGTTTCAAAAGTGTTTGTTTTGGTTTAGGCCATAGAGCAAGTAAGAATCGATAGATAACAAAACCTAAGATTAATAGAATGAGTATATACATAATTATTCGCCATTGATATGCATTTCTTTCATTTAATGCTATTTCAAGATCGTCTTGTTCAATTAATCGATGATATTTTCGATTTAATGCTGCTGTTGTTGTTGTTTTACTTCTATTTCTTTGTTGTTTTGAATTTGTATGATAATGATCACCCATACCTTGTTGTTGAAGATGATTAGCAGAATTATTAATTGATGTTGATAATCGATGTATATATTCATTTGATTCTTTATTTCTTTTCATATTAGTACAAATAGCAGTAGATTCTTCATCAGCATCTTGTCCAATATAATCACCTATTCTTTGTCTTATTCGTTGTTTTTGATGAATACAAGAAGATAGTTTTGTATGTTCATTATTCAATGGAGTTGTATAAATTTCTTCGCTTCCACTTTCAGGTTTTGATCTTGATATATTTGTAGTTTCACATTTATCTTTTTGTTTCATTGATCTTGTTATATGATGAATTCTTGATTGTTGTAAAACTGTATCAGTTACAGCAGCAGCAGCAGTATTATTATTATAATTATCTAATAATGGATTAATATTATTTATCATTGTTCGTTTAGATGAATGATTTCGTTGTTGAACATCTCGATGTTGACTATTAGGATTCACTTTAGATGTTGACATTTAAAATAATTCGGTTAGATTATTTTTAATAAAAGCGCGGAAGTTTTTTTTCATATTTGTCAAGCGGGAAAATATACAGATGTGTTCAAATAAAATCAGCCATCAGTAGATAAAACATGTCGTGCTTTTTTTTGCCTTTATCTGGTTCTACTGTGAAACATCGAAAAGTAAAAATGGCGCTACCTACAGTGATTTATCCAGCGAGGGGGGGGGGGGGGGCGGGGGTTTTTTTTCCCTTGGGGGGGGGCCCCCCCCCCCCCCCCCCCCCCCGGAATTCAGAAAAATTATTCTTTTTGAGTCTGAAACTCTACGTTTGCCCTCTCGGCAGTTAATTTCGCACCCTCGGACGAAAAAAGCTAGATAAAATACTAGCTATCTATCACGCCTTTTTTTCGACGTTTTACAGTAGAACCCACCTCGAGTACGAGTACTTTGCCCTGCTCTGGAACAAAGAGTTAATATTGAATTTTGTTCAAACTTCTCTTACATTATGAAAGTCAAAAGGAAAAAAAAATCTAATTCTAATTCACAGATACAAAGCAAATCACACTCGTTCGAGGACTTGCTTAGCTCTTTCTCGTAGAAATGGTGTTCTACAATGCTACGGGACCTTCTGCTTATATAACTTGCAAACACCAACATCAGATTCGTGTTCCACGGCCTCAAAAACCATTTCGTCAAATTTTATATTAAAAAAACGTTTTTGTAAAAAATGGTCATTTGTCTAAAAAAAATTTTTTCTTTAAGAGCTTTGAAAAACTAAGATCAGATTCGAAGTCCCCGCATCGAAATACCTCTAGAGATGTCTTTTTCAGAAAATGGGTTTTCGATGTTTTTTTGACCCTGTGGACAGACAAGCAAGCAAGCAAACAATTTATGTTTACTGGACTCTTCTCTACGAGAAAGAGAACATTCAGTACCAATGAAAAGTAATTAAATTATTATTATTTATTTGTAGTTATCGAAAAAAAAGGAAACAAATAAACTTTCCAATTAATCTACAATCAATATAAATAGGTTCTTTTCCTAAGCCCAATTCAATATATATTAAAAAACAAGAAAACAAATAACTATTTTTAAATATTATTAATAAAGTTATTTTAATTAAATAAAAAGGAAGAATGACGCATTGTTGATTGTATACTAATAAATGTAATGAATAAGTATCACTTATGAATAAGTATAATAAGTATTGAAAAACATAGACATGCAAGAATACATATATATTTGAATGTAATTAATTTTGAATCACGTAAACATTCAATTAATTTTAGAAATAAATCACTATTAGAATTTGTTGTTGATAAAGATTTTTCAATTGATATTATGGATTTTTTCTTTTTTGGTTTACGAGAACGTAATACATTTTGACATTCACTAGAAAACAAAAAAAAAGTTTTATTATATAAAAAAAAGAATATCTATGATATTAACTCATTAATAGACGAGAAGATTTCGGATAAATTTTGGGTACATAATTGTTGTTCTTGAATAATATTTGTTATATCAACAGGAGATAATATGGATTGTATATTAATAATAGGTTCTTCAAAATTTTTTGATCGAAATATAATTTGATCAGATTTTTCTATTGATATTGGATCGATTTCTTTTTTAAAAATTTCATCATTACATAAATCATCCGTTAAACTGAAATAAAAGTAAATCATATTATTATTCAATATATCCAATTCTTGTAATTTATTGATTAACAAATTATAAGAATAAGTATTATAACAATGATCAAGGTTTCTATAGCCTTTGACTCAACCAATAGGAATAAAACATAAGATATTAATTAATAGACATTTTGATACACCATAGGACATAGGAACTGTCCAGGGATCCAGACAACTATAAGAGCTCTTATGATACATTATTATTTTCAGACTTCCTTATGAATTTCATTATATATTTTATAACAGCTATGTCGAAGGGCAAGCATCCAGCTGAAAGTAACGACTGTTTCTTTGTAAATATAGATCTTATTTCATACCAATTAAAATATTTATACACTATTTATAGAACCTATGCTTATTATTCGACATAGTATATAATGAATTCTTTTGAAGTTTAAATCATTTTCTTTTTGTATAATAGAAAATTAGTCTTACATTTTATTCTCTTTTATATAAAAATTTTGTCGTTATTAAGTATAAATGTGATTTTACCTTTGTAAATTCTCTTTATCATTCCATTGATATTGTTTATCTTGAATACAAATTAAATAATCTTCATCTTCATTTATCATCTGTGAATGTTCTATAAACAATATATTAATTGAGAAAATAAAGTAATTTATGTCTATATCAATCAAACCTGATAATGTTGTTTCTAAAACAGTATCGAGTAATTGTTTTGTATATAAATTTGTTTTACTTAATTTTCCAATATGATTCGATTTAAGAATAAATAAAATATTTGCATGTAATTCAGAAAAAAATCTAAATAAACTTTTTTCTGTACGATCTGTATAATCAATTGTTGATATTGTATTAAAACAATAATTTGATAAATTTAAATACAAATCAAAACGTTCTTGTTGTTGATCGATATAATTAAATTCATTAATTTGTTTTAAATAATCAAAATATTCTAATGTATCATATTTTAAACTAAATGGACATAAATATTTTATAATTATTGATAAATATGAACAATCAATCCATGTTTGTAAATAAAAATCTTTTATATAAATAATATTTGTATTGAAAATTTTATTTAATAAATTATTTATCCATTTAATTAATATACTACGATCTTGTCCAAATGAAAAAAGTGTATTCTCTTGAAATAAATGTTTATTTGTTGTTAAACGAAATGATGGAAAATCAAATATTTTCATAATTATCCAAAGTAATGCTAAAATTTGTTTACGATTACCTGAAACAATATCATGTGGTGAGATATTTATATGTTGCATATGTAATTTTAAATAATCTAATACATATTGAACATTTGTTAATGAATGAAAACGAGTATGACCATATTCACGTTTTAATTTTTTAGATGAAAATATTTCAATTAAATCAATTAATATATGTCCATTAGATAAATCTTGTGATAAATCTTGAACAAATTTTTGTTCAGTACGAAAAGATAAATGATAATTAATAAATTTTAAAAAACTCGAAATTTGAATATCATCCATACGGTCATGTAATTGTTCAATACGTTTTTTTGTATAATAATCATGCGAATGATCTAATGAAGAAAATGATAACACATGTGTTGCCTTGTCTTCTTTCTTTGAATAGAATGCTGATGATGAGATGGTGTCAGTACTGATAGCAAGACTATGATTGTTAGTGTTAGAAATCAATAATGTTGAAGTAAGAGATGATGATAGAAGAGGACAAGGTTGGCTCGATTCATCAACATCTGATGAATATAACGTATCAGAAAATGAGGATATACTCCATTCATGTCGATCACTATATGCCATGATTAATAATTGTTCGGTATTGTTTTATGTATTGGAATCAATTATGTCATTACTGATTAGATTCGATAATAACAATTTGATTTCACATACTAAATATAAAAAATATAAGTTGTTTAATGAATCTGATATATGCAGTATACTGTTCAAAAAATTCGTTTTCTTTTTTATCAAAAGTAAACATTTACTTGATTATTCTTTTACTCAAATTCAATTCGTTTCAAATCAAACTATTGAAGTTATCAAGTGTCTATTACATCTATATATATATATATATACTTGACGATTAATGTCTTTTTGATTAATATTCTTCACGTATGATTCCTTTTCTTTGTGAAGAAAAAACATCCGTTTTCAATGTCACCATCTGTGGACAATATTCTCCTTATTCTATATATTACAAAAGAAAATGAGTAGAACTGAATAAAGCATGAGCACGTCTAACAAATAATCTTTCCCCTTTTTTTTTCTTCTTTTTATCGTTATCACCATATGTATAAATAGCAGCGGTCAATATCTGTTCGTAAGTAACGACTAAACTCACCTTCTTCAGTCATTCTACGATAATGACTCCTTCAATGTTCACACATGTATATATTCATTTTATTATGAGCATGACGTACAATCTATTATATGAGTAATTGTATATATCGGAACACCTATTGAGTCAAAACACTAATGTGTTTCATGTGTTAATTAAATAGCGACAAAGACATAGTATACATATATTGGTGTATTCAACCCAAAGAGACAGACATTTTATTTTATTTTAGTACACTAACAACAAATAGAAAAAGAATGAATGAGTTAACCACGTAATGAACCAGGTGGTGCAGTAGGTTGTGGACCATAGGATCGTGCACTTGATGATGAATGATCGCCAGAATATTTATTTGATTCAAGTTTAAAAGCAAATTGAAGAAAAAACTATTTAAAAAATTAATTAGAAAATTTTTCATTAGAACAAAAAACAAACCTGTTTTGTTTCTGTATTATAATATGTCCAGAATTTTCCTTCTGATTTATCTACTTCACGACTTGGAATCTATTAAAAATAAATTGAATTATTAATATGTTTAAATCAATGAAATTACTTTAAATGAAATTGTTTCATAAGGTTCAGCAGCAAATAGTAAATATTGCCATCGACGATCAGGTGCTTCAACATGTTGTTCAAAACCGGACATAAAACGATGTTTTGGTACAATATTATCCGATATTTCAGGATAATCAATTTGAAAAAGAAGTGATTGTTGTTTTGTATCTAGAGAAAAAAAATCATTTAAATATTTAATGAGATTAAAATTATACCTGGATCACGTTGTTTTGTTACTAGAAGAAAAAATAAAACAATAAGAATAAAATAAATATATTATTAAAAATTTCTGTTGATTTACCTTTATAACCAGGACGACCGATTTTAATAAATTTACGAACTTCATAATGAGGTTTTATTGGTTGAACTATATCAGATGATTGTTGATTTTCACGAGCAGCACGTCGAGCCCTATAATAATAATAAATGTTTAGTATTACGAAATTTAAAGCTTATAAAATATTTTTAATTCTAATAATGTATTACTATTCAAATGTCATATATTTTCCGAGCGTAGTTAATTTACGCATCTAATCTGTCAGTATGTAAATCATATATTTTGTTGAATTAAGAAGTTTGAATAATCTCATGATGAACAACTCGTCTTCTTACGAAATACTTTGATCGGATTTTATATTATAAATATTGAGTTTTTCTTGTAAAAATAAAAACTTACAAATTCGATTGATGTTTTTTTCCCTGTGTATGAGCCAAATATGAACCTTCATTATTATGTAAAGTTAAACAAAGTTTACATTCATAAGTTCCAATATGATTTTTCATAAAATAAGGATCTTTAGCAAGATTAATTGTTTCAAGAGCCAATTGACGGAGTCGTTCGCGTCGATCGCGATTCGATTCCGATCCACTGGCAACACCACCACCGCCAGTTTTACCACCAGCTCTATGTTGAAAATCCATGTTTAATGAAAAATATCCAAACGAATAATTTTAGATAATTCTTCGTAGTCTTTTTCTATTGTTTCGAAATCACAGTCTCTGCCAGTGTCATTAGTTGAGAAGTTCGACCAATAACATATTTAATGAATCAACTCCATCAAATTTATGCATATATGGTTACGATATGCGCGACATCTTACGCACAAATTGACTTCAATACAGTTGACTGAAGTAAGCATATATCTAATAATATTCGCAAATTAGGATTTTTTCATAATCAAACATTCAACTATGATGATATACTGTAAATAAACAATATCTTCTATTCTTGAAGTAGCAAAAATAAATGACATATGCGATATCTGCATGTAAAATAGATTAGGATAAATGCTTTTATTTAGAATCATACTGGAGAAACAAACAGTATAATAAGTATAACTCGAGAATAAAGCAATTGAAATATAGATGATCTCAAAGCATGACTTAGATCTAATGACCGAAATCGATTACAATTGCAATATTCCGTTTACTGCTTTTGGTTCACGTCAGAGGCGTTCACATAGAAGTATAGACTTATTAAAAATTGAATGATATGATCTCGTTGTAAGATCGCTTTAATAAAATATATGTATTCAATAATACTAATGAATACATATTTAGGAAAAAAACGTTTATAAGAAAATTCTCATGATGCAACACATTCGATCAAAATGAAGGTTCACAATATCAAAATTTAATTTTATAATTTCTGATTTTTAATATAAGAATGAATGAATAAGATATGACTTGGATTCAGCGGACTTCAATTTCCTCTTTATTTTCAATATAAAGTCATACATATTAACTTTATAGATGTTACCATTTTATTCAAGTTAGATATTTATTAACAAAAGAAGCTAATGTATAATATATTCCTTTTCTATCATCAGTAAAAGTTTCAAATGTTGTACCATATATGAAGTATCTAAACATCATATTCTTTTATATTTATATCATGTCAAATGAGTAAATATAATACCAAAGCCGACAGGATTCCGTGACATTGAACTCATCAACACAATTAATTATAGATCTACTTGTATCGAGTATTTATCGAACTTCTCATGACTTGTGATCATTAAAACTAGTGACTGACTTTTAATAGACATAAACTTGAAACTCATAAACTAATACAATAAAGTCGAAATTACACTGTAGAAGCAACTATGATAGATGGCTATATCAGTCAATTTTTTTAATTTTAAAATTAAATTTATAAACAACTGCTTAACAAAACTAGTATTACACGTAAAACATTCCCCTCAAACGGTGCTTTCAAAAATTGTAGTAAAGGATTGTCGTAAAAATTGCTTTAGAAAATTGTTGTAAAACATTGCCCTCAAAACGTTTCTTTAAAACTTTGTCGTAAAGCATTGTCCTAATACGTTGGTTTAAAAAAATGTCGTAGAACATTGCCCTCAAACATTGCTTTAAAGAATTGTAGTAAAGCATTGCCCTAAAAATTGCTTTAAGGCTTTGTTGTAAAGCAGTGTCGTAAAAAGTTGTTCTAAAAAATTGTCTTAAATCATTGTCGTAAAAACTGTTTTAAAAAATTATCGTAAAACATTGCCCTGAAACGTTGCTTTAAAAAACTGTAGTAAAACGTTGCCCTAAAACATTCCTTTAAAACCTTGTCGTAAAGCATTGTCTTAAAACGTTGTTTTAAAGACTGTAGTAAAACATTGACCTTAAATTTGCTTTAAAGCTTTGTTGTAAAGCATTGTCCTAAAACGTTGCTTTCAAGAATTGTAGTAAAGCATTGTCGTAAAAACTGCTTAAAAAAATTGTAATAAGACATTGCCCTCAAACGTTGCTTTATAAAATTGCTGTAAAACATTGCCCTAATATGTTGTTTAAAGAATTGTAGTAAAGCATTGCCCTAAAATTTGCTTTAAAACTTTGTGGTAGAGCATTGCCTTAAAAAGTTGTTTACAAAATTGTAGTAAAACATTGTCCTAAAACGTTCTTTTGGAACTTTGTCGTAAAGCATTGCCTTAGAAAGTTGTTTAAAAAATTGTCTTCAAGCATTGTCGTAAAAACTGCATTAAAAAAATGTCGTAAAGCATTGGCTTAGAATGTTGCTTAAAGGAATTGTAGTAAGACATTGTCCTAAAAATTGCTTTAAAGCTTTGTCGTAAAGCATTGCCCTAAAACGTTGTTTAAAAGACTGTAGTAAAACATTGCCCTCAAACGTTGATTAAAACTTTGTTGTAAAACATTGTCCTAAAACGTTGCTTTAAACAATTGTAGTAAAGCATTGCCTTAAAACGCTCTTTAAAAAATTGTAGTAAAACATTGTCTTAAAACGTTGTTAAAAAAATGTCGTAAAACATTGTCCTAAAACGTTGATTTAAAATTTGTCGTAAAACATTGTCGTAAAAATGAAATGCATGACTAACGAAATTTCTAAAGCAAAGTATGATTCATTCAGCAGGCAAGCAAATGTATTAGAAATAAATTAGATACTATTTATACAGGTAAGATCGCTACCGTCAATGTGAACTGTATTAGGTCTACTGACGACGATAAGAAAAATTGTAAGTAGCATATTTCACTCAATTTATTTGTATAAATAGACAAAACAAAATAATAATTTTTTTAAAAACGAAATTCTTATAAATTTAAATATTTTAAATTTAAAAATAAATATTTCTTTCACTTTTTTTATCAACCAATAGATAAGTAGCGTATTGTTTATTTCCCAATGTTGTGTCATATTGAAGAGAAATCACACTTTAACATTATTTCTATTCACTGAATTTTCTTTGTCTGCTTTCATTTATTCACTATTAACAAAAAAGAACACAGAATGATTTCAGGCAAAATTATTTTGAAATCAGCTACAAAAGTATCGCTTGATAAAAGGTAATCAATTATTCATTATTCGTATTTTATTATTCTCTATTCAATAAATATAGATTCACTGAAATAGCTAAACAAGCACCACCAACACCAACACCTCGTATTCAACAACAAGCTAATGTTATTATTCCACATTCAAGACAAGAATTATTTGGAAATAATAATAGACGACCAGCTGCTTTGAGTATTGCACAACGATTGAAAAAGGTATTTTAATTACGTTCAGATTTAAAAACAAAATTTGGTCAACTTTATTTTATTATTGGAAATTTCAAAAAAAATCATTTTTATTCGAAAGTTCTATAAATCATTCAATATACCTGACATACCATCCGACAGCAGCTATAAAAACTTATTTTTCTTATTGGGCAAGATCCTACTAATATTAATGAACATCAAGATATCGAAAATATGATACGATGAGCATTTATATGGTTATATAGTAATGAAAATCCGCATTATTTTGAGACTTAGATTAAATGTCTGAATTGCTTTTCTATTCCAACACGAATTTATATGATGAAGAAGAATTTATTTTATATTGTTAATCATTTTCTTCTAGCGAAGTATTAATTATCGTCTTCGTCTTGATACAAATGCTAATGCCAATCGTTTATCTGCAACACCAGCCAAATCACATGTTTTTCAACGTCTTAGTTTTGGTAATCGTCGACGTGGTCGTGGTGGAAATAATCCAGGTGCTAATTCATATTTATTCGGTGGACAAAGTGGTATGGGCATACGTCTTCAAGGGCAAGGTAGAATTGGTGGAAGTATGTGACAAATTAATTATTTCTTTCTTATGATTTAAACAATTATGTAATTTTAACATTAGCACGAACATTCCGTTCACGAACTCGTGGTTATTTAAATAATAATGCAATCAGTCGATTTAGTAATTTTTCACCACGTGGAGGAAATAGAAACATGAATAATAATCGAGGACGACGTATTGGAAATAATAATAGTATCAAGAATAATAATAATTTTATTCGGTAAGATACTAGAATTCAATATGAACAAAAAGATTTATTTGATTGTTCTTTTTTTCTTACATAGATCAAATCGAGGTCGTGGCACAAAAAATTTTTCTCGTGGTGGACGTGGTGGACGTGGCAGAAACAATAATAATAATAATAAAACTAACACCAATGTTTCAAAAGCAAGTCTTGATACTGATCTTGATAAATATATGGCGCAAACAAAAATTGAGAATGATTCAATTGATATGAATGCTGTTTAATTATTTATATTATTATCATCATTAACAACAACAAGAACAAAAAAAAAAGAAATGATTGTCTACTTTATGTATCTATTGTGTATGTGTGCGTGTCTACCAATGATGGACTTAACTTTCTCTCTATCTCTCTCTTGTTCTATTCCTTTTTTGTCTTTGTCTTTTTCTATTTGCCAACGTATTACGAGAATTTGATATATATATGTATGCCTACTCATTTTTCATTGGCATCATCATGATTATAACAACAAAATGATGGTCCATACTTGTTTTGTTTCTCGTATTACTATTACTCCTGTTAATAAATATCATATGTTTATTGTCGAAAAAGAATTACATACTTTAAAAGTTTATAGAAGAGATGATGGAATCGATTATTGATTGAGACAAAAATCGAGTAAGAAGATTTATATATATACATATACAAATGGTTTTACTATTTTTTGTTTCCATTTCTTATAGACGTTGATGTTAATGAAAGGAGAAAAATAAAAAATTCGATTGGTTTATATTTAATGATCAGTTTCAGATTTGAGAGAAAATATGATTGCTAAATTATTATTACTATTATTTTATTTTAATATTTATTGCTTCGCACAGTATGATGTTGACCCAAATGGTTATATCATGTTTTGTCCATGTATGGGTAAGTGATACATAACTTTACAATTAATCGTAATAACTAATAAATACTATATCAGTCTCGTTTTCGATTGAATTCTATCACTAAAAGTAGTTCGATAAATCATTTACTCGAAACTGAAACCGTAGAGGATAGTTTCTATTTGGAAAATAATGCTAATGATGAGCATTTAGTAGTTCGACAAATCAATATTAGTGTACAATGTCTTTCATAAATTCCGACATTATTTATTGTTCCAAACACAGAGTTTGCTTTACCAAAAAAATGAAGTTAATGATTTTTATTACTATTGTATAAGCCGGTACTTCACAATTAACATACTTATCTAGTAAACACGTATGAATAGATCCTTTGATGTTTATTATAAACAACAGAGAGTAACTATTTGCATTTGTATCTAATTTAAAAATCATATCATATTTGTCTTAAGCTTCGAACTATGAAAAAGCCAATATTTTATTTTGATAGTTTCAATATGTGCTGCTTTCCGTGGTAATTAAGAAAGGATTAACTGATATAGCTGAAATTTAAGTCGAAACGGAAATATTTGCTTTTATCATATATTTACATAGAGCTTGGAATAATAAATGTGATTTTTTTTCAAAGGTCGATTTGGTAATCAAGCTGAACAATTCCTCGGTGTTATATCTTTTGCTCGAACACTCAATCGAACTCTTGTACTTCCACATTGGATTGAATATCCAACACGAAGTATTACTTCAGTAAATAGATATTTTCGAATATTCATTATATATACATTGAAATATGTTTATTAATTAGGATCAAATTCCATTTGATACATATTTTCAAGTTGAACCATTACAAACTTATTTAAAAGTTATTTTAATGAAAGATTTTATGAAACATTTAGCTAATAAAGTTTGGCCAAAAGGAAAACGATATGGTATAGAATAAGAAAAAAAACTCAATAGATTTATTTTAATAATATTCTTTGTTTTGTCTAGTTTTTTGTTATAGTGCTCAGATCAATGAAGAAAGTCCGAAACAAAGTTGTCATGCAAAAGATGGCAATCCATTTGGACCATTTTGGTCACATTTTAATATTGATTTTGATCAGGATATTTTTTATCAACCACTTTTTTATGAAATTCGAACATCAAATGATTGGAATACAAAGTAATTATCAGGATAAATTCTGATTTAATTTAATTTCATAATATTAATCCTAGATATCCATCAATAGAATATCCTGTTCTTGCATTTAGTGGACCACCAGGAAGTTTTCCAGGAAAGTTTCTTTTCTAATACGAAATTAATTTTTGATTTTATATTTTTTTTTTCGTTTATTTATTTAGCTCTTGAACGAAATATTCCATTAGTTAAATACTTTGTCTATTCGGATTATATTCGAGAAAAAGCGGAAAATTTTTTAAATAAACATCAAATCTCACCTGACACATTACTTGCTATTCATTTAAGAACTGGAGTAGATTTTGTAAGTTATTCTATAAAATTATGCTATCGAAATAAACAAAAAAGAACTATAGATCATCGACTGTACTATAAAGATTCTTTATTTAGGAACGAGCATGTACATATCTTAATGGGAAATCAAATTTTTTTGCATCTGCACAATGTCTTGGTTTTAATCTTGAAAAAGGTATACAATTAACAAATGATATATGTTATCCATCAGAAGAGAACATTTTAAAACAAACAGAAAATAAGATTCAAGCGTCAAAATCAACTGTTTTATATATTGCTGCTGATGGCGATCATATGATGGAGAAATTTCAAAAACGTTTTGGAAAAAAATATGGTGTAAAAATCATTAAATATGAACGACCATCAAGTCAAAGTGAAGGTGAAGCAGCACATTTAGATTTATATATATTAAGTGTAGCTAAACATGCTATTGTTAATTGTCCATCAACATTTTCAGCATTTGCAAAACGACAACGTGATGCACATGATAAATTAACTGATTTTTGGGGTATTGAAAATAGTCAATTAACGAACGAACCTAATTCTGATCTCTAAAATAATTTTATTTTCTATCTGTGATGTAGCTTTTGCTTAGTTGGGTGCTTCTTTAATACTCAAGTGCTATATATGTTGTGAAATCTCGTTTAATATTTATGGATTTTTCTATTGTTATCTAAATAAAATTGATGCAATAATCTATATTGGGAAAAATTAAATATTAGTTTTAAAAAATGTATTGAACAGTATCAACAAATAAATGCGGAAACTTCGGATTTTATCCGAGAGTTATGTGTACTGCAAAAAGTGCATATGAAAATATCAGTATTTTTGCGATAACTCGAGAATGGCTAGTCCAATTAGGCTCATCTTCGAACTAGACCGAGATCTTGATGAGACTGAATTGTATAGAAAATTTTATTACAATCTGACCCTTCTTTCGCAAGCTATCGTGTATACAGCCGGACGAACACACTGATCGATTCTAGAAGTGTACTCACTTTTTGAGTACACTAAAAAGTGATCGAAATCTCAGAAGTTTTGAAATGTTATTTTTATTATTGAGATTCATCAGAATTTTGATCATGATTGACTCTCGTAATCGAACTACTCAATTAAAGAAAAACACCAATCTTATTTTCGATCTTACTTTATTAGAATTACGATATTAAAAACAATGGATCATAAAATAAGTGAAGTATAACTGTCAATGATCATTCCAATTGCTTTTGCTTTTTTTTGGTATGTTAGTCTTCATCAAAAATATTTTTAAAAATATGCAGGTGATTATTTTTCACCTAGATAAAAGCGATCTAAACGGTTCAGATTCATATTGATAGATGATAAGTGTACTGCAAGAATAGCGCATAATCGATAGAAATTAGATAAGTAAGAAACAAAATGAAAAAAGACGCAATTGATTTATATGCAGAATCGAACAATATTGATGAGCTTCAAAAATTTTTCAAGAAACTATGACATAAGATATATTTAAAACGTTTTCTCTCACCTAATTTATTTCGATAAATACAGCATTGATTAGTAAGAACCAAATGGAAAACGGTCCACTGAAGTGACCCAAAGTTTTTTCTATCGTCATTTAAAACATCAGAACACTTCGGGACGCGTGACTGAGACTCAAGAAAGCTTTGGAGTAATGAGACATACCTTTTGTGAGTCTCAGTTACGCGCTCCGAAGTGTTCTGATGTTTTAAATGACGATAGAAAAAAGTTTGGCTCACTTCATTAGACCATTGAAAACTTCTCACAGAAATAAATATTCTAAGAGGATATTTACTATTAATGGATATTAATATAGAATAATCACATATATTTATTTGAATAAGAAATACAAAAATTTTAAAGCCGAAATTCAAGAACACTATTTGAATTTTGCCGTTCCATTGAATGTGGACGTCGTTGTGTATAATTTTTTCTTTGATTAGATACTTTATTTTCTATAAATTGATTATCAATATCCGCAACAGGTTTACTAACATCTGTTATAGCCCATGGAAAATCATCTTGAGCATCAATAAAAACATTTTGAAATAGAAATTCATTAATACGTTTTTCATAATCATCTGGTTCAATCACAGAATATTCTAAATGTCTATTACGATCCGTAAGTTTTCGAAATGTTTGATCAAGTAATTTAAAACTATCATATGTTTGAAGCATATCAACAAATGCTAAATATATATAAACACGTTGATTACTTTTATTAATAATACCTGGTATAGGTAAACTTTCATAAGCAATCGAATCATTATTATAATATAAATTTGTATCAATAGATATATTAAGCATTTGTATTGGTTTTAAATATGAAGGTAAAGAAGATGTTTGATTATTTTCAGAATCTAATGATGAAACATTATTAAAAGGTTTTGATAGATGCATTAATCCCAAATCATTACTCAACGAAAGTAATGCTGCAACGCCTGTTGCTGGGCGACGTCCAATCAATTGTATTTCTGACATATCTAAATGTCTTATACCAAGAATTAATGAAAAATCCGTAATATTTAATTTTTTTAAAACTTTTACATCATTAGCTATAACAATTTTTAATGTTTGATAAATATTTGTTGGTATACGTATACCAGATGGATATAAATCCATAAAGTCCATATCTTTTAGTTTATGTAATTTATCTACAGATAAATTTCCAGCTAATTTTCGTTTTATTCTTGAACCTTTTAAATCAAATATTTCATTAATTTTTAATGATGGCGTAAATGCATTAACCATAATTGCAACATAGATTTCAATTGTTGTTAATGATGTTTCCATACGTATGGAATATAATCCAATATAACGATTAAATATTGTTGGACGTTGTGTTAATTGTAAATGATAACCAGATAAAATTTGCATTAATAAACGTGCTTCATAATCACGTAATGTTTTTAATATAAATAAATCATCGTATGTTTTATACATCAACGAACCACTTTTACCGGGATTGGTAAAATCTTTTAAATAATGTTCAAAAAATGATTGACGAAAATTTTCATTTGATATACCAATATCTTCACGTAATTGATAGAATATATTTGGTGCTAATGAACTTATTCGAAAAAGTATTTTATCATCATTATTATTAATATTTAAATCTGAACATGATAGATCATCTTCTTTAACTTTTAATGTATACTGACGTGAATGATAAACACGATGTTCAGTACCAAGAATTGTTGTTTCATTTTCGATATATTGATTAGAATTTTTTGTTACGTTATCAAGTAAATCAACAATTGCATGACCTAAAGCTCGGCCAATAATTGAAGTTTTTGAACTAATATAACGTAATTGTAATGGAGTTATTACATAGGAACTAATATGTAAATCAAGTTTATTCCAAAAATCAACATTATATAAACCTTCACATATTTCATCTTTACTAATCGCCATATTTTGTTTTAGTTATGTTTGTAAACATGGATATAAATGGTAAATGTCATGCTTCAATGGTCTTAACTAATAAATGTCATGAGTACAAAAAAAAAGAACGCAAATCATTCTTTATTACACATCTACTCGTGTTCGATTCTTTCATTAGACTCAAAACTAGTTCATGAAAAAAAAGTACAAAAATAAATTAAATATAAGCTATGTAAGTTTAGAAATTAAATTTATATAATTACTCATAACGTTCACTATCAATGTGATAATGATATCTCTGTCATTCTATACACATATTGCTTGAATTATTTTGATTTGTAGAATAAAATAGGTTCAAACTACTCTCTCAATGTATAATTAGCTTTGTATAAACTTATTCATTTCAAGATATTAATAAAGAAAAAACGACTGAAAAAAATTAAATAATATATATAGAATAATAGAGAATTTCACGTGCAATCAGAATTTATATGAATTTGTTTTTAATTGAATATGTCCTTAAATAATCAACTGATAACTATTTGAATATAGAACAAAAATGATACCTAATAAGATTTATGAAGAATGTCATCTTCTAACCCTTCGGAGGTGTACGCTTTTTGTCACACGAACGATGTATGTGGGTTCAAGTGGACCCACATGTAAATACATAAGGAAAACGTGATTTTTTATCTGTATTGTACTGTATAAGATAGACCAAGGTCTATATCATGATCTCTTTTCAGTCACTGATGTGTTGATACGCTTGTAGTGTACGTAAGATGCTGATCATTCGAAAAAAAAAGGAATTCCGATTATCATGAACAGAAGTTAAGAGAATGGTAAAAATATTTCGATAGATAGATAAGGATAGAGAAACACATAATTCCTTATTGGCAGCAACAAATTAATCAATTTTCAATAAATAGATCTTCGAAACAAGAGAGAGCATACGTAATAACAATTAAAATCATCTATATAACACGAATATTGTCACGGGGTCCCAGTGGACTCACACTCTAGTTTTAAACTGCTGATGGCTTTGCAAGAATTTTCATATGGTTCTTCTGCATCTTTAGAAGATTAACGATTAGCGAAAAGATCGCGTCGAATTGCAGAGATTTTAAAGTAGAAAAAAAAACACTGTGATGGGTCTCTTGGACTCATAAACACCGCCGGAAGGTTAATAAATTATAAAAAAATTGTAAATAGATCATCTAATATTTAGGTATATATTTTTTCCTATAAATAGCAAATTACAAATATTAATTGTAGTATTGTACTATATACTTATTTAACATGAAATATAAGCTGGAAGATTAAAATTACTATCTATTAATAGAAGAATTCCTCCATTCTTGAATTCTATTATGATAGTTGATTTGTTTTGTAAGACATGAGAATAATAGAACATAGTAATTAGGGAAAACTTATAATCTCCTGAGGTTTATTATATTTTAAAATTACTATTGTTGATTCTTTCTATAAAGCACGACAGAAAACATCCTTGGAGATATATTGTAAGTTGAAAAAGTTCATATGAATGAGAATAAGAAAAAAAAATATGAAGATCATTTAGTTCAAAATGATGTGATTCTATTTAGTCAGTGATAGTTTGACAATTCGATAAATCATTGTATTCCCCAACATATATATATTGTTACAAACGTAATATTAAGATTCAAATGAGTTAGAAAAGATTAGATTTATACGCTTGAATAACATAATAGTTTGTATGAGTATATAAAATAAGAAACTTATCATTCTATATAATTCTCAAGAGAAAATAATTAGGTTTTGCCATTTTTTTAGTTTCAACTTGTAGATGTGACTACAAAAAAATTTCTTTTTGAAATTGATGGAATAGTTTAATTAAAAATTTTCTCGACAAAGAAAGATTCTACATAGTTTTCACGAAGGATGGAGCAAAGATTTTTTTTTCAAAGAATAAACTATATTATTACCTAGAGGAAATAGCCAATTATTTCCAATATGACAGGAATGTGAACGTGAGTGTAAAGAATTTAAATGGAAAAAGCACCTTGAGATATGAGAAAAAAATATTTTTCTAGGTCTCTTATTTTTCAAAACAACTAGCATCATATTCAATATACACAGAATTTTCTTTTATTTTTTTTAGAAAATTGTTTTATATGTCTGAACATATTGATACAACTCGACTTCAATCGGATCTTCGTTATCGTTTTGATTATCTATCAAAATTTCTTAATTTTACAAAAGAAGATATCACTCTACTTAATTCATTAGCACCCATTATATTTCCACAAATAAAATTTATAACCGAACAAATTTATAATAAATTATATTCATTTGATGTAATAAAAAAATACTTTCTTCTTCGAAATAATGATTTCGAAAGTTTTTCACGTGAAGAAGAAACAAATACAACTGTTATATCAGCACAAACTGATTTTCGTAAAGATATGTTAAGTGTGTATTTAAAGAAAATTTTTATTCAAACCGAATGGAATGATATATTTCTTCAATATTTATCACAAATTGGTGAAATACATACCGAATCTGATCATACAGAATCAACGAATGTTGATTATATACATGTTAATATGTTACTTGGATATTTAGAAAGTCTATTATTTGATATTATATGGAAGGAAGAAAGTTTTGATAATACAAAGAAACGTTTAAGTATACGAACAATAAATAAAGTTTTTCGAATACAAAATGATTTTTTTGCAATGCATTATGGATTTTCACTTGAACAAGGTATAAATCAAAATACTCCATTAAAAAAACAAACAAAATGTTTATTTAAATAATATATTCGATTTTGTAATATATATTGTTTTCATTTATACTATGAAATAAATCAAAAAGATTTGATTAATATTAGTTCTCAATGTTGTATATATGTATGAATAATTCATTAATCAAAATATTGTATGACAAAATATTATTTAAGATTTCTGTTCTGATTAAAAATGTGATAAGCAATAATAGTATTCAGAAAATTTGCATTCAAACAATAAAATCTATTAGCATTATAATTACTTCTTTTATCTTAATAAACCTATTGCAATAGAAATACAGACATAATTTGTAGACAGGACTTCCAGAACCACAAACAGTATTGTTTTATTCTTCATTTGACATAAGGCCGCACATAGAATATATCTGTGAATGTATACAAAATTAAGAAAAAAGACTGTCTATCAACAAATTCAACAGATACAATTCTAATAATGACTTTTTTTTTTATTTTAAAATAATAAATCATCACTAATGGAATAGAACATTTCATGCGTAAAAAAAGTTCTCAGTATCAAATCCACCTGCCAGATAATTAATTATAAACTTCAAAAAAAAGGAATTATATGCACTTAAAACTATAATTATGAGTTTTATTTTCTTTTGCGTCATCAAATAATAAACTAAACGTCACATTATTAAATATAGACTCACGATTGCATTACGCGAACATTCATCATATCACATCGAGTATTGTCTAAGTACATTTGTAAAATTTCAAATAAATGAAAACATCAAGAAGAATTAGAATGTTAATTCTCTTCAAAAATCTCAATATTTTTGAGATCTTTAAATATTCTAATAGTTTCTGTCTGTATTTTATACTAAATTAAGGAAATGGAGAATATAACAATTTCAGATGAATATTAATATTTATATATATAAGATAAACAAATATCAAATTTTTTCTAATGTATTGACTGTCTGGAAAATGATAGATTTATCTTTGAAATAAACTACTCATTACTATTAATTTCACGTCTATGATCAGAAATAATAGAATACATTTCAGATACTTATTCATATATGCATACGTAGAGTTATTATATTTTACATAAAAAATTACACGATCTTTTGTCATACGTAAATGAAAGAAGACTAAATTCATTTTATATAATTGAATGTGCATATAAAAAATTGTTCTGTAAATAATTAATAGTATATATTCTTATTTCACTTAGACATATTAATAAAAAAGAAAGAAACAATTCAAACTTGAGCGTTCTATGTCTATGCAAATGTTATGAATTATTTGTTTCTATTCGATTGTCACGTACTTCGTTAGTTGTTTCAATAATAATTTTGTCTATCAACATCTGTTGCATATCAGTGTCGTTCGACACTATATTACGGATGTCATTTAATGTTTAATCATTAGCACAATCTTATTTATTATCTATGTCCTTGAAATACAATAACGAGAGATTAAAAAGTATCAGAAGAAGTTCTAAGAATAAATTAATTTTTATCATGAATATAATCTCTTAGAAAATCTTTTGAATGTATGATTCAGTTCGTTTAATTTTTAATCAATTATGGTTATTTAAGATGAAATATCCTTGAAATATGTATTAGTTCAAGCACACTTCATTAATGTGCGCTTTCTACTCATATAACAATTTTCCATGAATAAATTCTACGCTTGGATTAGTCGTTTTATTATCATTAAACTATACATTTTTTAACGGAAAATACTATTATTATAAAAAGATTTAATTCATAAATTTTAAAGGATAATTATTCGAGAAGACAATGTACTAGTAGACACTAAATTATGTCATGTAAAGCAATTTTTCTGGGTGAACACGCTAATATTGATTGTTCTTTTCTATTTTTATGGAAATATTTGATTTAACATTACATTGTTTCTGAGTTATTCTCATCGTATGAATGAATTAGCCAGCATTTTCCGAAGCGGAAAGTCTAATGAAAATAACTAGTAGATTTTATAGATTGTATTGCTGTGTTGTGTAAAATGACGATGGTTCAGAAATCATGCATAATGAAGCTTCATGTTTTTTTTCTATAATACGAGATAAGAGAATAAGCGAAGGAGAAAAAAACTATTCTTGGAGAAAAAGAAAAAAAGAAGACGAACTAACGCTTTGACATCATTAACAAATTCTTTTTTTAATACAATGGTCGAACATATTGATGGTAATCGACTTCAATCAGATCTTCGTTATCGTTTTGATTATTTATCTAAATTTCTTAATTTTAATTCGGATGATATAGCGATGCTTAATACATTTGCACCTATTGTTTTTCCACTTATACCAGTTTTATCCGATGCAGTTTATAGAAAATTATTTTCATTTGATATAACAAAACAATATTTTCTTATTCGTAATGATGGTTTTCAGGGTTTTATGCCTAAAAAAGATTGTGGATTAACAGTAGATTCAGCACAAATGACATTTCGAAAAGATATGTTAAGTGTTTATTTAAAACGTGTATTGACACAAACTGATTGGAATGATACATTTCTTCAATTTTTATCACAAGTTGGTAAAATGCATACAAGTCAATCTGGTTCAACATCAATTAATGTTGATTATATACATATAAATGCATTACTTGGATTTTTAGAGCATCTACTTATTGATGTTCTATTTAATGCGGATAGTGTAGATGAACAAACGAAACGTGGAATTCTAATGGCAGTTAATAAATTTTTTTGGATACAAAATGATTTTTTTACAATGCATTATTTAATGTCACTGAAAGATAATTCAACATCAGATAATACAAAAGAACCAACTAAAACATCGAAATGTTGTTGGATTTAAGACAAGATAGAAAAAAAGTCGATTTAATTAATTTCCATCCACTAAAAACACTATAATTATGAATATGTATAAACAATAAATATTTTGCAAGTGTTATGAATTATTTTTTCATCTGATAATAACAATCGATCGTTTAATTAGAGAAAATCTATTTTTGAATTCTAACGCACAAATTAGTTGATCGTTCTTCGAAATGTGGTGAATTAAATTATATTAGAAAATACCTACATCGACGAAATAATAAACACTTGAAGGATGTATTTTTTTTTCTGTAAGGTTTTATCAATAGAATATGATCTGTTAAATTTTTTGATAGAGAAAATGCAAAATGTGATTTTCGGAAAAAAAATTTTCTATCTTTTAGAAGGATCTGTCATCTGCTTGTCTCATTGAATGAGAAGTCTATGTGAGTATAATTGCTATCGTCAACAATCATATATTCTCTACATTGACAAGTCCAACCTTTTTCTTGTTGAATCAACTAAACAATCGAATTATTGCCGTTGGGTACATCGACTACATTTATTCTTTTGTGTCATTTTTCGAGGACGGGAACTATCTTGTCATGTGTAGACAAATAACATGTTGTTCAGTCAGGAAGTGCGTGTGATTAATTGTATAGGTGCGTGCTGTCAGAAAACGATTTTTTAAATGATCATGTTAGTATTGTTTTTATGTATAAAAGATTATGATGATAATCATAATTTATTTATACAGAAATATTCTTTTCCATGTAAAAGAAAAAAGAATAGAGGCAGAAACGTTGATCAGTGATATTTTGATAATATTTCTTTAATATTATTTGAAAAAAATTTGATTTATTCCAATATGCTACTTCATTCATACTTCGATTTCTTTCTATTCTTTATTTGTATGGTATATTCTATATGATAATTTCACTTTGATTGTATCTTTTATTTTTGACCTTGATATTTCTTTGTTTTTTCGTTCCTTTATTTACATGTTCGCATAAATTCATTTGTAAAAGAATTATCTATGGAAAAAATTTTGACATCAGATTATTTCCATTCAATGTATAGAAAGTAATAGAAGTAATTGGGTTACTTCTAAATTAGTTAACTAATTTATTCCAGTATAATAAACAAATTAAAATATTTGACTTGTATTAATAATCAAAAATATGTAAGATACAATCAACTGTCTAAGTGCACTTATATGTATGTGACCATTTGAATATTTTATTATTGGAAAGGAGAAAAAACACGTGTCATATGATAAATTTGTGTATTCGAATGTCGAGATTAGTTTTATTTACGGTGTCTCATATGTAAAGATATCGAAATTCTATTTTCCACGAGGTATTGTTTTACGACCATTTCTTCTTTCTATTTGGAAAGACACATCCAGTATTATTTGAATTAGATTCAGTTAATTGAAACCTGTTTGATCATGGAATACATATTGGTTTTCTTCTTCTTTACAAATATTTTTCTACTTGTGAAATGTGACAATCTTGTAAACATCCAATCGGTATCAGGTAATTTACAATAGACTTTTTTTGTTATCCATAATTAAAGATAAATAGCTTTTTAAATAAATTAATAGATAATACAAGAAAGGTTCCATTCAATGAAATAATGGGCTATGCATCAACAAATGTTGAAGCTTATTCAAATGGAAATGATACTTATACATCCAAGGAAAACTCTTATTTATATGGAATATATATGGGAATTAAATGGCAATGTGTTGAATATTCACGTCGATGGCTTTTTATACGTAAAGGTTGTGTTTTTAAAAGTATTGAGGGTGCTGCAGATATGTGGACTCAAGTAGATTATGCTCAAAGAGTTGTTGATAAAAAATGTTTTTCTTTTAAAAAATATGCAAATGGCTCTTCTTCTCCACCAGTAAATGAATCTTTACTTATTTATAGTCGTTCAGGAGTTGATATGCCACAAGGACATGTTGCTGTTATTATTGATGTTTTACCAAATTCTATTCGAGTTGCCGAAGAAAATTGGGATCCTTTTTATTGGTCCGGAAATTATTCTCGAGAAATTCCATATGATTTTCTAAATGGAAATTATTATATTAGAGATAATTATACAATTCTTGGTTGGATGTTACTTGATGATAATAATCAAACACAACCATTAGATCAATCTACAATTAATACTATTATTCAACTTAATGTATCATCTCCAGATTTCATTTGTCATAATAATGTTATTCACCATTGATTTTTCACTTCATCTTTGTTCATTTTTCATTTTCTCTTATGTTTAATTTTTCCTTAATAAAAATCATTTAGAATTGAGTACTGCTAGTTCTTTTTGGTTATCATATAAAATGAGAAAGGATCGATGTGAGTGAAATAAATAAAATACGCCCCACACCCACAAATATTTCATAATGCTTTCTGTTTCAAGACAAAAAATGAATAGTATTGCTGATTATTTTTGCATAACAGAATAATAATAACTGACTACTAAAAGAATTTCTTTGTTTAATCATTTAAAATCATCATTCATTCCCTCAATGGAATATTTAAGAAAGTCTATCGGTAACGAAAAATAAATACTTTTTTCAAAAGCTACCATCAATATGTGCCATGTTTTATAAATGCATAAGTCCAAAGAAATCCACTCTTATTTTATATTTCATTCTAATAAATACATCTGTTTCTTTACGAGCATATCACTAAATTAGCTATAATGAATAATAAAACGTGAACTACAGTTTCCATTGCTTGGAACGGTTCTCCAATAATTAAAATATTTCATTAGGTTTTTTTATTTTGCTTTTTATCATGATATTATATATTATTTTATAGGAGACCATATGCAAAAATTATTACCGACTGCTTTTCATAGTTCTAGGCATTTATTTATATGCTTTTTAATTTATTTTAATTGAATATACACTCTACACTAAAGACATATATGATCTCTCCAAACCATCTGCTCGTATTAGATGTAGACACGCTCGGAAGTGAAGATCTGTTTCTTGACTATTCGATCTTTATTCAAAAAACGATCTTGGTAGGACAACTAAAATGATGGGAAAATAGCGTTGAGGGTATAGGTATATGTGAGAGATTGTTAGAATACCCACACTTAACATGGTAAATACTAAGTTTAATAAAAACATCATCATTCAAAAGTAAAGTAAACGCGAGATAACGCAGTTTTTTACATCACACTTGAGAGATGCTTATTATTGTCTTGTTTTCGGCGAATACTCAATAAGACAACACTGATAACATCTCTTCGCTTGTTTTGTCGCCGAAAACATCAGCATCGAATACGAAAAAAAGACAAAAAGTATTGCTCTGATGTTTGTCAAGCAAAAGGGTGACGATGGGTGTGCATATTGCATTTCCATTCGTTTCAGAATTTCTTGAACAAACTTGCATCAGTATAATCATTACGATTAACAGAAAATTCACCATATTTTTAGATGGAACTGTTCTCTCTTGAGGGCGGATGTGGGTGTGTGGACGGTACATTAGTATTTTCTTCATTCACACCCATCCGAATACTTTCCTCATTGACAAGTTCTCTGAAAATATGAATTGTGCTTATTTAAGACACATTCTATTCTATAGTTCTTGTCATAAATAATGTTTGCGATACATCTTCTTTGAATTTATCTAATGATCCAACGTGAATTGTCGTTCAATTTTCTTTTTTAAAAACTGGAGTACTAATTTTACAGATATAGTTATACAATATGTCTACCTACTTATCTATCTAACTACATTGAAAACAAACTGGCAGATCTCTTATTTATTTTTATGAATGACTTCAAGATATTGACTGAAATAACTATTTACAAAAAGCAGAGCAAAAAAAGAAAAAGTGAACAAAAATATATATTGCTTACGAGAAGAACCATTACACATAATAAAGCGAAAAAAAACAAATCACTGTAATTAATTATAATAAGCGAAGAACAAAAAATTTTTGGTGTTGACTATGATAAATCAACTCAATATCTTTATGAATTATTTTGATACACTCTTCTGACCATGTTTATTATACAATTCTGGAGCATTTATAGACTCTTCTTTCACAACCACGGTATGATTTCACTTCCATCGATAGAAGAGTTGCTCGCTAACGGTCCTTTATAGTATATTGTTGCATTAAATGATGCGACCGCATAAATTGCGCTTGTTGCACAAACATAGACTACTGCTAGATCAATGGCAGTAACATTAACAACTGAAGAGCATCGAAACTCATCTGTCAATACCGTCGAATTTTTAGCATAAATATCAGTATTCATACTTGAACAAACATTAAAAACATTGCTACCATTACTTGCAGTTATACTGATATTTGTAGGACACGGTTGTGTCGAATTATATGCGAAAGTTGAATTGATAACATTAATAATCATCGAATTCAATGCACAAAACGATATCGTGTTATTTACATTAGTAGCAGTTACAACTGTTTTCTGTGGACATAACCATGAAGTATTAGACTCAACAATGGCTAAGTCATAAACTTCGACATCTAATTCAACGCTAGCACATAAATTTATGATATATGCTTGTTCCGAAGCGACAACATACGTCATATCTGGACATACAGCAGAAGAATTAATAATCAGCCCTGATGTCCTATGTACATACATTTGAAGTTCATTATAAGCACAAATACCAGATATTGATAAGTTACTTGAACTATTGACTGATACATATGTTGGACATGGCGAAGTCTGATTAATTGAAACATTCGCCATATCTATAGCTTGAATAGTTAACTGCATCGTAGCACAGAGATTTGTAATCATCGAGGTTCC